GACACTACAAACAGAACACACTTTTGATTCATTTATATACCTAACCCATATAGCATTTTATACGCCTGTGTATCGCCAAATAATGTCACTTGATCTGACTGAGGCATTGATAGGTTTCTTTCTCAATTAAACATAACTGTTTTACAGGCAGTATTATGCATTGTAGCTAGAGGTAAAAATAATTTCCATATATTCCAACCTTGGCGATAAAACCGTCAATTCCATTTTGAAAACATCACAACTAAGAAAGCTGATACTGACATTTGTGAATTGTGCGTGCAAGATAGTTAAAACATCTCCAGTAATTGTCGCAAGTAACGAACGCTTATTCAGAGATCTGAGAAGGATTAAAAATTACATAACATCAACGATGACAGATTCAACATTAATGCCTTCGTTACTGGTATGTGGAAAAAAACTTAATAGATGCCATCGATTTAAAAATGACCAGCAAGTGGAGTAATGTGAATTTCGAAAATAAAAATAATAATTTTTGAAGGATCAATTGCTACTGTTTGCTGCTGTGTTGTTTGCGCTCAAATATAGATAACGAATTGTTCACACACGTAACAAAACCTATCATGTCCCAGCCCCGTTCCATGATAAACATTTTCAATGCTGCATATTTTCACTACTTTGAATGTCATGTCGATGATAAAAAAACTGGGCTCCACACGTGTGTTGTATCACATATTACGTTATGGTTTGAAATAGATAAATTACAAGGGAAAAAATCCCGCAACGAGTTCCATAACTTTCCCGGCAAAAAAAAATTGAAATTGTGTGTGGTATTACTAATAAAGTCAAGCTATCATTACCTTACTACTCAATATGCTATAGATGAATTCCTTAGATATAACAAACTTTGAAAATGTATACAAAAATAACTTTAGTAGTAGACTACTAGGCTAAACTGTGAAAGTGAAAAATTTGAAGTCATCATAAAAAATTGCTACATGCGTGTAGCATGTAGCAATTTTTTATGATGACTTCAAATTTTTCACTTTCACAGTTTAGCCTAGTAGTCTACTACTAAAGTTATTTTTGTATACATTTTCAAAGTTTGTTATATCTAAGGAATTCATCTATAGCATATTGAGTAGTAAGGTAATGATAGCTTGACTTTATTAGTAATACCACACACAATTTCAATTTTTTTTTTTGCCGGGAAAGTTATGGAACTCGTTGCGGGATTTTTTCCCTTGTAATTTATCTATTTCAAACCATAACGTAATATGTGATACAACACACGTGTGGAGCCCAGTTTTTTTATCATCGACATGACATTCAAAGTAGTGAAAATATGCAGCATTGAAAATGTTTATCATGGAACGGGGCTGGGACATGATAGGTTTTGTTACGTGTGTGAACAATTCGTTATCTATATTTGAGCGCAAACAACACAGCAGCAAACAGTAGCAATTGATCCTTCAAAAATTATTATTTTTATTTTCGAAATTCACATTACTCCACTTGCTGGTCATTTTTAAATCGATGGCATCTATTAAGTTTTTTTCCACATACCAGTAACGAAGGCATTAATGTTGAATCTGTCATCGTTGATGTTATGTAATTTTTAATCCTTCTCAGATCTCTGAATAAGCGTTCGTTACTTGCGACAATTACTGGAGATGTTTTAACTATCTTGCACGCACAATTCACAAATGTCAGTATCAGCTTTCTTAGTTGTGATGTTTTCAAAATGGAATTGACGGTTTTATCGCCAAGGTTGGAATATATGGAAATTATTTTTACCTCTAGCTACAATGCATAATACTGCCTGTAAAACAGTTATGTTTAATTGAGAAAGAAACCTATCAATGCCTCAGTCAGATCAAGTGACATTATTTGGCGTTACACAGGCGTATAAAATGCTATATGGGTTAGGTATATAAATGAATCAAAAGTGTGTTCTGTTTGTAGTGTCGGATTGTTTATCCAATTTTCTCGACAAAATTTATTTGCAAGGAATTATTATAAATTGTTGTTTGGGATTGATATCCAATTAACGAACAACAGTAATTGCCTCAAGAAGCAATTTTTCGATAGTTTCTGAAGTACATTTTTATGATTATAGCGCATTTTGAAACAAATCAGTTGCATCTATAGTATAGATGCAGCTGATTTGGGGTCGCCAAAGTGGTCTATATCGACCCCCAGGGATCGATTGGGGAGTGGATGAAAAGACTAAAACTTACAAATTTTGAACCGAATATTGCTAATCTTCCTAAGGATTATCAAGCTCATCCGTCTCATTGATTGTCAGTTACAAAAATTATTAACAATATATTTACAATAAATTAAAAATGTAAAATTAAAAGATATATAATAAAATAGTAAGAGCTTTTTTTGCTTGTAACACAAACTTTTGTGGGGGTCGATGTGAGGTTTCGAAAAGTTGTAGGGAGTCGACAACCAAAAATGTTTGGCGACCTCTGATCTATACATTTAATTTTTTTCGGAGTCCAGTCTCGTGACTTATATAGAATTATTTTTATGACTTTCAGAGAAACAATAAAATGAAACGTTAAAATCTTTTTTAGACAAAATGGTTTTCTGTCAGTTTTCTCATCCCGTGTTGAATTTACGATCTTCAAGAGCACGAAAAATTACATACGACCTTTTGACAGATCTGATATATACTGTCATATACTGTCGACCTACTCTTTGATTGATATCGAAACTGATATATTATTTTTCGTATGTTAGTAACAAGTGGCTATATTAGCTTCTTAAGTGGGAACCCCCTTTTTATTGCATATCGTGATTATACATCAAAAACTAACAAACTTTTAACTTGAAACAGTTTTTTTTAATGATGCACTTATCAGACGGTGTATCCTGCACGCGTGAATCTGTGGCTATCTGCGAAATTTATCGGAAAAAAAAACATCAACGAGTTTGACAGCTTTAACATGTCAGGCAATAGTTTTGTATCAGTTCGTTATTGAAGAAAAATAATTATTCTATCAGATGTTGATAGTTTTCTATTAATTTTTAAAGTAATGTTTCTTCCTTTTTACAACTAACTTCACAAATGTCCACAGATTTATGCGTGAATAGTATGGCAGCCTCTTAAAACCTCAAACACACAAAACTGGTAAGTGCATCTCTGGAAAAAATATTTTAGATAAAAGTTTGTTTGCTTTTGATGTAGAATCATAATAAACAATTAAAAAAAATGGGGATTCCCATTTAGGAAAATGGACTTAAATCCGTTCTTATCAATTGTTTAGCACCATCTTTAATGAAACATGTAGCCCTAGCCTATAGAAAAATTATTAAAGAAAGAATGTTAGGCTTTCCCAGAAATTTAACATTTTTTCTTTAATAACTTTTTTATAGGATATGTATGTCAGTTTTCGAGTTATTGTAGAGCAGTGTTTTTCAACCTTCTTGAATACTCGACCCCTATACAAGTTAAAAAAGTTCTGGCGACCCCCCAGGCCATATTTAAACTATATCAGTGATTTTAAAAACTACGTATTTAATTTTCTTTCTGTTGAGACCTAAAAATCGATCGAAAAACCAATTGTACTTTAAAATAAAAACGCAAAGCCTTCTCACTGAAATTGTAGTGTAGGACCTACAAACACTTGTCTTTTTCTTTTACCCGCGACCTCCGTGTAAGGCTTTGCGACCCCCCCGGGGGTCGCGACCCACAGGTTGAAAAACACTATTCTAGAGGATTAATTAAAATCTAGCAGTATTATCATTCCAGTAATTGTGGTGAAGCCATACAATGCAATTCTCATGCATTCGCAAGAAAAAATGAGATTGAAATTTTCTTTCTTATTTATGTACAGTACCGTATTATATGGTAATATGTTTATCCATTTGGCTATGCAGTTGTTAAAGGGTACTCTGTTACAAGTTCGAATCTTATTTTTTTAGATGTTTCTTCTCTAAAGGCGTTCAAAAGGATTGTTAGTACATCGTACTTCTTTTCATTTATAGTACTTTTATTTTTAACAAAATAAAACCAGTATTTTGTAATTATAACATTTATTTGTTCTGCAAGAAAAAATTTTAAATTATTTTTCACTTTATAATGATTTGTATTTTGCAATATTTTCAATATCAGCAACGGATGTCGAGTACATAGAAAACTAGTTTTGAACTTTTAGTATAACAGCATGATCTATTTGAAGGTATGAAGTGATATGAATCCGTTCAACGATCAATTACAATTATAGTAAGCGAAAAGGTTTTACTGCGTAACACTCTCAACTCGTTCATTTTGCTACACAAATAATTCAACTTATGCAAAGGTGAATTTGTTCTTGTGTAGTCTTGCCGTGCCTATCTGAAAATTATAAAAGGCTTAAAATTTTGAATTACAATGAATATAAAAATGTTTAAAATGCATAGCAAATAAATGTTATAATAACAANAATTAAATAGATTTGGTAGTCTAATAATATAAATTTTTATTATTTCGAAAATGATTTTCTACTAAAAACCTTTAATTTTGGAACAATTTCTAGCTTAAATTAAAAATAATAATAAACGCAAACTATTGATAAACAAATTGTTGAATAAGAAATATTTTTATATTGCGGTTTTTTCATTATTGATTACATTTAGTACATTTAGTTTAATCTGGATTTGGTTTATACTATAAAAAGTGGATTTACTTTAGCTTTTAAATAGAGTTCAAGCTCTATAATTTACATTTTCTTCAAAAAATTTAGTTCTCTGATTTTGAACCGGATATTTCATCAATACATGATATGTATCTTGATTATGTAAGGATTAGTTTTTAAGGAAAGTACAGTATTTTTAAATGAAATTTGGTCTTGTTAGATTTATACTTTAGGGAAATATTTACCGGTACAATAATTGTTTTCAATCGTTAAGAAATCAGTCTATAATAAAGTGTAATCATTTATCACTTGAATATCTAAAAGTTTTAAATATAAAATTATTTTATAATTAATAATCGTTTTCTAAATCTTTAAAGCATTACATTTTGTATTATTTTCTTTCATAAATATTAGTTTCCTTATGAAAAATTTAAGAAGAGTAAACTGATTATTCATGATTTGGGATGAAAATGTTTACTGTTTATAATGGTAAGTTATTAAAATTTTATAAAATTTAAAAATTTGTTTAAAAAGGGCCATTTTGGAAACTATGCAAATATTAAAAAAATTATTTATCGTCATACTCATACTCGTATTTATTTACTTATCCTAGATTCAGAGAAATCGTGTAAATTAATAAAGTTTTCTAATAAGCTTCGCAAACTTAACAAGAAATTATTAGAAACTATAAATATTTAGTAACTCTAAAGCTTATAAATAAATTCGCGTTTCATTGCACTAAAAAATCAGCGAAAATTGCTATAACAAAAACTAAAAATTACGTTTTCAGTTTCCTAATTGGAGAAAAGGAGTATATAAATGCAGGAGTTTAGAAAGAATAATTGTAAAATGCAGATTTTACTCTAAAATTAATCTGTCAATCTTTTGGAGGTTGGAAATCCTGCTGAAAAAATAAAATGCAGACGTCAACAGTTATTTTATTAAAATTAACAATAAGATACATTTATAAATTTTTTGGTTTGAAACTTGGAAATTATTTGATTAAATATTAGTCACCGCTAGCTTTAAATTAGTTTCGATGCGTCTGTTAGACGGTTTCTTGTTTGAATTTTTGCTGCATACTTTCTTAAGCTGGGAAATTGATATATTTATTCATATTTTATGCGACGAGGGCCGCAAAAAATATTATGCGGCCTGAGGGCCGCAGGTTGCGCATCCCTGATGTAATCCATGTATTACACAGGTAACGTGTCATATTTGGGAGGAAGACCTGAAATGTTCCTACCGCTTTTTGCATGTATGGTGTTGCACCCAATAGAAGAAGCAGTTTGCTCTCATATTTTATTTTCTGTAACAAATAATTAAGATAAATATTGTTTTCGTTCAATGAAGTATACATTTAGCAGTTACGAAATGGTGTGTGAGACCAATCACCTGAAAAAAATCAATTATAGATTTTCATTTACAAATCTTTATTTAGTCTCAAAATTTATCTTTTCGATTATATTGCTAGTTAAATATGGCATGTTATACTTTAAAAATACCAATCAAAACGAGATTTAAAACAAAACAGTTTAACTCACATATTCAGAAAAAGATATTTTTTCACAAGATCACGCTTACAGCTGTACAGCTTATTTACACATTTCGTGTCTGTTATTTTATCATTCATTATGTAATAGTAGCTGTTTTCCAGACGGATTCTAATTGTTTGCATAGTTTCCTCATAATACCTAGGTAAATGCAGTTTTCTCAAGATGCTTTCGTCAGGAGTCACATATTTTAAGTAGATTTCTCCAAGAATTGAGGGGAGAGTTTCGTTTTCTGATTTCTGGATAAGAATGTCCGCAGCTATGAATGAATAGCACAAGTCTTCGTAATGCTTATTCTGTTTGCTGCTACAGGTACAGTACAGTACATTACATTGGGTGAGCAAAGACTGCTTCAACCTTTTAGAACCAGCGCCTGCTAATTAATGCCAGCTGTAAAATATACATTTCTAAAAGATTTGGATAAAGGAAAGCATTCTGCATAATTTACCCTTTTATACGTACAGTGCTGAATGATAAAAAATTAGCATGAAGGAAACTTATCGGACTTACAGTAGTAGAAGTGCATAATCGAAAATATAAAGCAAGGACATTGAAAAGTAACTAAAAATGATCAAATGCTAATAATTGCACAATAGTTGCAATAACGAGACAAATTACACTAAATTGCACTTTAACTTTAATTTAACACTAAATTGTCTACTTCGGATTTCGAACCTAAGATGGCAATCTGGCAAATACATAATTTGAACGATCTATCTGTTAGTAAAGAAAATTTGCAATGTTAGTAAAATCCGGGCTTTACTTAGAAAATATAGCAAGTTATGAATTTTTAGTCGAATGTGAATCAAAATTTTAAATGATTTGAAATATAATTATAGATTTTTGTAATTTCTTAACGGCGTTTTATTAATGGCATTTTAAATTTAATATCATAACTGATTTAAATATAAAAGGAATTTTTTCTGCCTGTAATAAAATGAGAATTTCGCAGATCTGCATACATTATGCTTATTCGTAAATATTGGGAAAGTAATATTTAGGATGTTCATAACTAATGCTTGTTTCTACAAAAGGATGAGAATAAATAAATAAATAAAATTATTTGAATACTTTCAATATTGACAGTATTTAATAAAAATGAATAAGGAAAACCAAATTATATGCAAAAAAGCATTCTTGAAAATTTGGTATCTTGCTTTAAAATGTTTCTCTAATACAACGATTTTCAGTTATATTCATATTTATTATTGTTAGCTCTTGTCTTAATCTTAAGGGTGCTTCCCGGACTTTTTTCTATTTGTCTCTACTTTTTCATCGTTTTAAGCCTAGCGCTATTTCGCACGAAATAAATGACAGTGTAAGTATATTTTTAGGCTTTTTATATGTACTGTACTTTTATTGAAAACGGCTGTGATTAAATACGCGGCAGTGAAGATTGTCTTTCCATGTCTGTAAGAAAGTATAGTAGTTAGACATAAATAGTTCGGTTTCTGTTGATTGCTTATAATTTACCTTTCATATATTCGTCACTTAGTGTAATATTAATATTGCAGCTATTATTAATTTTTGTCACATTTTTTTAATATGGGAGCTTTTTTTAACAAGGTCAAAGCAACAAAAATCAATTCATCATAATCATATTCAAGTATTATCAATCCACTGCTAGATGAAAGTCTCAATGATTGCAAATTATATCTTCCTGTCATGAATTTTTTGAGCCCAAGCAATCCTTGTAGTTTTTAAAATTTTATCTCTCGTCTCTCTATCTTGAGATATTAAGTCATTAATACATTATATAATAATTATTATTTTCCCTTATAAATGTTTTTGTTTTATTTATTTATTTTTCATTCTAATGAAATCATAAATCAAAATTCTGTTAGTAGATATTTATTTTTGATAAGAACAATTTGATATTTATTACTTTTTTTTAACAAAAACTATCAAAAGATTTAACAGACTGTTATATAAATTGTTTGTGCTGTATTTAGCAGAAAACTATTTTTATTTGAATTTTTTTTTTTGTGAACAAACAACGAGCATTCTTTATTGATTTATATGGAGAAAACATTTGTCGCTGCGATGTAATTCAATATGAACATTTCTCTATTGGCCGTATCAATTTATATTCTTTCAAATAAAATATATGGAGGAAGTGCTACAAATATGGAATACCATTTTCTTTTCAACCTCTGGTAAAATATATACCGCATTTTGAAAATATGATTCGTTGTGAAGCAAAGACAATACTTTACTTTAATGGAAGGTAGTGGTTAAATGACATATGTATACAAATATATTTTAAAATATATTTTTTCAAAAGTGCTTTACTTTATGTGAGAAAACTAAGGCACAAATATGGAATACATTTTATTTGAAATATATGTTATCTAAATTATTAAAAATAACACGAAATTAATCCAATTAGAAGATACTATGTATTGTAAAGTTTTCTTCATTTTATTTTCGTCCCATTCTTTCTTATTTTCGTTTCTTTCAGGTACCAAGAATTGAAAGAAAAATAATGTACGAGCTAAGAGCTAATAAACAATATGAATGTATAAAAGATATCTTTAAGCACTAATAACACATTGCGATGTTTTTAAAATTTTTATACGAGCATTGTTTTGGTTACTTTTCCACATTGGTGACTTTTTTCTTCTTTATCAATTTTCAGGCGCTTATTTCAGAAATAACTTTGAAAAGCGAAAAAAAATTTGAAGTCATCATAAAAAATTGCTACATGCGTGTAGCATGTAGCAATTTTTTATGATGACTTCAAATTTTTCACTTTCACAGTTTAGCCTAGTAGTCTACTACTAAAGTTATTTTTGTATACATTTTCAAAGTTTGTTATATCTAAGGAATTCATCTATAGCATATTGAGTAGTAAGGTAATGATAGCTTGACTTTATTAGTAATACCACACACAATTTCAATTTTTTTTTTTGCCGGGAAAGTTATGGAACTCGTTGCGGGATTTTTTCCCTTGTAATTTATCTATTTCAAACCATAACGTAATATGTGATACAACACACGTGTGGAGCCCAGTTTTTTTATCATCGACATGACATTCAAAGTAGTGAAAATATGCAGCATTGAAAATGTTTATCATGGAACGGGGCTGGGACATGATAGGTTTTGTTACGTGTGTGAACAATTCGTTATCTATATTTGAGCGCAAACAACACAGCAGCAAACAGTAGCAATTGATCCTTCAAAAATTATTATTTTTATTTTCGAAATTCACATTACTCCACTTGCTGGTCATTTTTAAATCGATGGCATCTATTAAGTTTTTTTCCACATACCAGTAACGAAGGCATTAATGTTGAATCTGTCATCGTTGATGTTATGTAATTTTTAATCCTTCTCAGATCTCTGAATAAGCGTTCGTTACTTGCGACAATTACTGGAGATGTTTTAACTATCTTGCACGCACAATTCACAAATGTCAGTATCAGCTTTCTTAGTTGTGATGTTTTCAAAATGGAATTGACGGTTTTATCGCCAAGGTTGGAATATATGGAAATTATTTTTACCTCTAGCTACAATGCATAATACTGCCTGTAAAACAGTTATGTTTAATTGAGAAAGAAACCTATCAATGCCTCAGTCAGATCAAGTGACATTATTTGGCGTTACACAGGCGTATAAAATGCTATATGGGTTAGGTATATAAATGAATCAAAAGTGTGTTCTGTTTGTAGTGTCGGATTGTTTATCCAATTTTCTCGACAAAATTTATTTGCAAGGAATTATTATAAATTGTTGTTTGGGATTGATATCCAATTAACGAACAACAGTAATTGCCTCAAGAAGCAATTTTTCGATAGTTTCTGAAGTACATTTTTATGATTATAGCGCATTTTGAAACAAATCAGTTGCATCTATAGTATAGATGCAGCTGATTTGGGGTCGCCAAAGTGGTCTATATCGACCCCCAGGGATCGATTGGGGAGTGGATGAAAAGAC